ATTCCTGAGAAAAACTGGTTGACACCCGACTTATTCTGTCTACTCCTGGATACAATGTTATTTTAAATCTCATTATTTTACAATAGAACATGTTAAATGCAAGTGATTCATACAATTACATATTTAAACTTGTCTGGCAGCAACCATTGTATGAGAAACACATCTTTACACTTTTGACATAAGAAACTCACACCCTTACAAAAGTCACATGAAAAAAAATCAAATTTTTCCACTAGATATATCTATCCCTTACATCCTTTTTAGGATGTAATTTTTTCTTATTTGAAGCCCCACTCTGGCTTTTGCCAGGGGCCGCAATATAGGCAGGCCATCAATATGGCCAATTGTCTGAACGCGGTTTCTGGGACCTCTCCACGGTGATCCTCATCTACATGGTGGCACTTTGTGTCATCGGGTGTTTATTGCTTGTGTGATGTCCTGGTGGGGTAGAAAGTCAGTCAGTCAGACCAGATATATGAAAAACTCACATCCTTACTACATCAATCAGAATCTGACAATCGTGCATTAACCATAATAGAATCTGATAACATTTAAACAGTCACATAAGAAAACTATCATTCATATGAAAGACTAATACCCTTACAACAATCTTGTGAGAAACTTAAATTCTTACAACAGACACCTGAAAATGTGAAAGTCTTACACCAGTAACATAAGCAACTAACATCCATACTCAATCTTCTTCTTCTTTGCGTTCACTAGTTGTAAACTGTGGCAGTAAGTTATGGTTGAATTTTAATCTTATTCCACAACTTGAGTTTTGTTTGCACATCCATTTTACAGATCTGACTTACATGTGTGCAGACAGTTGGTTTATTGCCTTTCAGAGAGATGTACTCTGACTTCCTAAAAAAAAAAAAAAAAAAAACAATAAGTGGACTTTTACAACATGCTTGTTAGTGGGCAGCGGATCTATTCCTTTTCCCCCAACCCAATGCAGGCGTGAAATGCCCTTGGGGGACCGCATGTAATTATATGAGAAACGCACATCCCTATATCAATTATATGATCCCTGTGTGGTATCTAGGGAACCATTTGGGTGAGGAGGAGGAAAGGGATAGACCCACTACCTCCCTATCATGCATGTTCTAAAAGGCAATTATTAAGGAACTGTTCCTCCAAAGTGTGAGACAGCACCTGTCTGAGGGATGAGAAGCCAACAAACTACTTACAAATTAACAGATGTGTAAAATGGATGTGTATGCAAAATTCGGGTTATGGAACAAGATTAAGGTCCAGAAGTGGATCAACAACCAGAACATTTCTCTAGAGTTTGAGTTCACAGCAGGTGAACGCTAAGAAGAAGAAGACGACAATTATATGAGAAGTTCACATTCTGTCATCAATTATGTGAGTAACTGACATCCATACATCAATCATTTGAGAAATTTATATTATTACATTAGCCACATGAGAATCAGACATTCTTACATCAATCATGTGAGAAACTGGCATCTCTTCATCAATCATATAAGAAAGTGACGTTCTTACATCAATCATATGAGAAATGCACATCAATCGTTCATTCAAACAATTTGCAGATTCATAACAGACATCCTTACAGTGATCATATGGAAATACTATTAATGAATGTAACAAAACATTTTTCAATGACACAGTAAACCCATTGCAATCAAAAGGAGGATGGCCATAGCAATTTAAAGATTAAACAGCATTAAAGGTATATGGTTAAGTACCAGCAAAGAAATTAAAATTCTGAGAGCATGCATCTTCCCTGTAGCAACATACTTATGTGGGTTGTGGACTATTTCCCAGACCTTCACAAAGAAAATAGGGGCTTTTGAGCTGAAATGCTGTAGAAAGATTCTCAGAATATCATGGACAAATAAGTGGAGAAATACTGACTTTTTAAAGATCTGAACATTAAGGAAGATTTGCTAATTACCAGCATCAAATCTCAGAAGATGAAATATTATGGTCATATCATGCGCCATTGTGGATTGGAAACAAATAATAGCAGAAGGCATGGTATCAGGAAGGAGGAGCAGGGGCCGACCAAGACAAAAATTGGAACAGGATATAAGTGACTCCTTGAACTGAAAGTACATGAAGCGGGAGAGTTGGTGAGAGACCCAGTTTTTTTTTTTCTAGGCAGACCGCAAAGGACCTGAGACATGATGAGTTAACCCACATCTTTAACACAGGGAGTAAATTCAAGAACTCATTTACACAACTTGAGCTGTCTTGGGCATATGGTGTTAGCCTACAAGAACAACCACCTACAGCTGCAACCCTAAAGACAGTAAAAGCACTTATAAAAGCTATAAACAAAGAGGCTACTGAACAGATAAGCCATGGGAGATCCTGGAAGAGAGAGGTTCACAGACAAATGGCTGGCCCTGATCCTAATAACAGCATCAACCATCTAACAAGGAGGGGCCAGGCCACCATCTTCAGACTCAGAACACTCATTAGGCATCCTAACAGAATACAACCACAACACCCCAAAGGGACAGCTATTTATCTACCACTATGAAACTGTTGACTATCATCTCTTTGAGTGCCCAAAACTCAGTGAGACTAGAAGAATGCTACTCCCTCCGAGACCAGACAAGTGGAACAGTTGGATCAGTTAGCAACATCCTTGCCTCAATGACAATCTGAACACATGGCCATTGGGTCAGCAGGCAAGAAACTAGCCAGTTCGCTACAATGGCTCTCTATATTTGTTATACTTTCACATATTAAACCCATATCCTCAAATAAAATCACATATTAAATCTACAATTATAACATAATGACACATTAAACACATATTTGTCATAGAACAGGATGCAACACACCCATATATAGCACTGCCAGGATTTACCACTTTCATTGTGGTGAAGGAGATAGGGACCCTGAGCCTGGGGATTTAACATGGCTGGTGCAGTTGTCACAAACTGTACAGATTAGGATTTTTTTTATTTCTGCCCCCAAGGGAAAAAGCCCTTAAAAATGTCCCTTAGTGAGCCTCAAACCTGGGTTTTCTGTGGCGACTACCACCACTCCAACCACTTAACCAGCAGCTCCTTATCACAGTTTTTACTACAAACATTTACCACTTTTTAGGCAGTGTAGAAGGGGAGAGAGGCTTACACTTTATCAATGTGTGTCCTATCCAACACTGAAGTCCCTTTATCAATGTGTGTCCCGTCAAGTACTAAAGTCCCTTTATAATTGTGTGTATTCTCCTATCCAACACCAAAGTCACTTTTTCACTGTGTCCTATCCAACATCTAAGTCCCTTTATCAATGTGTGTCCTATCCAACACTGAAGTCCCTTTATCAATGTGTGTCCTATCTAACACTGAAGTCCCTTTATCAATGTGTGTCCTATCCAACACTGAAGACCCTTTAACAATGTGTGTCCTATCCAACACCAAAGTCCCTTTCTCACTGTGTCTTATCCAGCACAGAACTCCCTGTCTCAATATTTCCTATTCAACACCAGTGTCCTCTTCTCCATGTATGTCCTATCCAACACCACAGCCCCTTTATCAATGTGTGTTCTATCCAATTCCAACATCCGTTTCTCAATGTGTCTTATCCAAAGGCAGCATCCCTTGATCAATGTGTGTTCTCTCCAATTCCAACATACATTTCTCAATGTCTTATCCAAAGGCAGCATCCTTTTTTCAAAGTGTGTCCTATCCAATGCCAAAATCCCTTTCTCAATGTGTCCTATCCAACAGCATTGTTCCTTTCTCAATGTGTCTTATCCAACTGCATTCCTTTCTCAGTGTGTCTTATCCAACTGCATTGTTCCTTTCTCAATGTGTGTCCTATCTAATGCCATTTCCTCACCCCTTGATTCACTAGAACCTGTGCAGTCACCATGAACTTGAGTCAGGATTTGTATTTTTACCCCAACACAAATAATGTCTATCACTTTACTAAGGGTTTGGACCTGCGTCTCCTGAAAGACAGCCCACCACTGCCCCATAAAAACTAATCACATTAAATGCATAATCTGAACACCACAACAAATTGACAAAGAGTTTCCATCAGACAGGGGTCCAGCTACAGGCTTATATATCGTTTCAAATCAAGTAAGAATATACTGGTCCTATTTTGTTCTTTATTTCTGTAAAAAGTCCTCTATCTGGTCTCTCATTATCTTTATCTTCTGCAGTATTCCAGCTTTTGAGGCTCACTACTACAGATATCACCTGACTCCATTCAAGTCTGCGACTGGCCTTCTCAACAGCATAATAAAATGTTGTTGTCTCAGATAACACCAGTGATTTTAACTGAATATTTTAGCAGATTCCATTTCTTACAAATTAATTTTACAATTCCCGTTATGCCACCAGTGTGTTACTGAAACCCTTAAGGAAACAAAGAATAGTAACACTGTAAATTACCATGCATGTCATAAGAGGTAACTAGAGAGGATTGGTATGAAACTGCCTATCTCTCACTATGGAAGATTGTAGCTGTAAAAACAAACCACATAACAGCAAGTGTACAAGGAGGTTTATGTGAGTGTTTTGAGGGCTCATGCTCTTCTTTCTAGGAGACAAAATGCTGAAGAAGATTTTTTGTTATTCAAATTTCTTGTTCCTGTCCACAGGTGTATTTTCAGCTGCCTTTCTTTCTTTGAGCCAATGGGTTCCATTGCAGGACAATCTAGTTATATTATCATTTTCAATGTGTGTACTATCCAACAGTAGCGTCCCTTTCTCAACACATGTCCTATCAAATGTCAGTCTTTTCTTCAATCTTCATTCACTGGAATCTGTCCAGCTCTGCCCCAAAGCTCACCCCAGTGATTCTGTCACACCATTCAACTGCCTCCAATCTGTGCAGACACCAGTCAATGAATACCCATATTGTATTAACTTTTTCGGTACCAGGAAACAAATCACTCATTTTTTTTATAACAGAATTAACTATCTTCTAGTAACGAAAGAGTTAACAATTGTTTCAGCTGTTTCCCCATGAATTCTAATCTCAGTGTACATTCTGATTTTATTTTATGCAAAGTACTTCCAAACCAGATACATGAAGATAAGACAGACTAACATCAAAATAAACATAATAATTTTATCTTGGCCAGACCTTTTTTCAATCAGGCGCATTACAGTATTTGTTAAACCTAAAGTGTTTGTTAAATCCAAGAGGCGCCGGTGCGCACCTTTCAGTGTCATCCGCTGGTCCCTGAGATTGGTCAAGATGCTCCCTCCTTGACCTATCAAGTTGTCCATCAGTTTGTTGGAATCGTTTAGCTTGGTGTGATGTCGGAGAGCGGGATCTATCATGATAGATGTGTCTTGCTCATTTGTTGTGAATGGTCTTGACAGCAGTGCTTCTCTCTCATAATCTTCTTGTTCTCTGATGAACCTACGCATGTGGAAATAATGGACAGAAAATTTAAACAATGTTTCTTCTTATTCTTCTTTTTTTTTTTTTTCTTCTTCTTTTTTTTTTTTCTTCATTTTTTTTTTTTTTTGCTCCTGATCTTACTTTTTTCTTTTTCTTCTTTTTGTTCCACTACTTATTATTATTATTTTTATTTTCCACTTCTTGTTCTTCTTATTTTTCCTTTCCTTCACCTTATTCTTCTTATTTTACCTTTTCTTGTTCTTCTTCTCCTCCTTCTCTTCTTACATGTCCCTTCTCCGTGACCAAATTTAGACCAGCAAGAGGGGCAGCACCTTTCTAGAAAGGTTGAAACAAAGTGGAGCCGCCTCTTGTGGCATCAGTAACACACAAAATATTGTGATGGGGATAGAATCTGTCAGAGAGGTGAGCAACAGACCGCATACAAATAAGCAGATATGTAAAATTAATGTGATGCAAAACAAAACTAAAGTTCTTAAACAAGATCGAAGTCCAGAAGTGGACAAACAACCAGAACTTTCGGCCGGAGTTTACATCTGGTGAATGTTACAAAGAAGTACTATCCACTGTGTCACAAAAAGGAAACAATAATAAGAAAACTGATGCACTGGCAATGAAAACATAATCACAGAGGAACATATTAACCAAAAGAGATGAGGAGGGGATGATTTTATAGAATGAGGGGTAGAATGAAGATGACAACAGATAGAGAAGGAGGGATGATGTGCCAGAAGGAAGGAAACAGAAAGGAAGTGAGAGAGGGTGATAGAGAAGGTTTGTAAAAGAGGGATACTTGAATGTTGGGAAAGCAAAGAGAAATAAAGGAGAAAATTAAAAAGAGAAGCGACAGAAACAGAGCAGAAGCCAGCAAAAAATATTCAGACAGGCTGAATGAGCAGGGATAGAGTGGGATAGCAGAAAATGAGGGGAGTATGTAGCAGAGATTTTAAAAATTAAGGAAAGAAATTAATTAAAATAAGGTATAAAGGTAAAGGGTAAAGTCCATAGATGTGAACCAGTGTCACTGAACACGGTTAAAACCATAAGTGCTCTGCCACCAGTACGGACAGCTGATAAGAAACTGTCCACTTGTGTCGCCGCCCGCACACAACTCCGTAGCTACAAAAACGTTCTTTCATTTACCTCAGAGTGTTAACTCTGGTACCTATTACCTAGAGGCTGGGTGAACCGCGAGAACCGCCAGGTTTTGAACACTGGGCGTGGGCTGCAGCTGGATTTGAAAGCAAGTCTCCAATCGACTGCGCTAAAGAACCCCCCCCCCCCCCCCCCAAGATGAGGTATGTGTGGAAGCAAATGAAAAACCTGCTGAATTTAGTAGCGAGAGCAAGAGAAGGATAAAAGGATGAATGCAGTAGCGAAAGCAAGAGAAGGATAAAAGGATGAATGCAGTAGCAAGTATGAGAGTCAGGGAAAGTGTAACAGCGTGAGTCAAGAAAAAAGGAATGTATGGTACGTTACTTTATCATAATCATTGTCACGACACACTAAGCATTCCTATCAGTCCTCCGATGAAGCAACCTCCCAAAGGTACCTGTATTGATTACTCCTAAGAAGGAAGTGAGATGAGGGCCAGTCAGATGAAGAATGAGGAAAGAAGACAACAGACTCCTTTTTCTGAAAGCATCAAATGGCAAATCCTCACCTTTTATGTTGCAACTGACGTAAGGAACTCTGTAAGTGCTGACAGTCGTATTTCAGCTGATCCACTCTGAGTTTTGCATTAGCTCTTCGAACCGGGGGTTCCTTCATCACCAGGACATCCAGCCGTTCACAGTTACTGATGATGTGGTCAATGTGTGCCTGCACCTCATTCTCTACTCTGTCTGCAGCTTCCCGATCTTTAGTCCTTTCTATACGTGCCAAGTCTCCATGCACCTAGAATAAAGTGTAAATCTAGTCTCAGCTCAACGAACAAACAAACAAATTTTTTTTTCAAAGGTTGTTAACATTCTGCCCTTCTATCTCCCTCCTTTCACACATCATGTCATTCATACATCAAGTAATAGTAAACATTATCAATAGCCTCAAAATATCCAATAAAAACACTGGAATGTGCACATTTTTAACTACAGTAAACGTAGTAGTTGTAATAAATCTCAGGAAAATGTGCGCTATTTCTAAACTATATTCTCTATGGGGGCATATAATCTGTGGTCAGATAATATTCAAAGTTTTCGACTGTATGTATAGGGACTACTGGTATTTTTTATTTGTTGTGGAAGATATTTCCACTATTGAACTGCGGAGTATGCCAAACTTGTTTTGTATAGGCATCTGCAGTCACCACACTCACCCAAACCTCCTTGTTAATCACTGATGATAAAGACTATCTGCAGTCCCCCCCCCCCTCCCCAACTCTCCTTAATCATCAATTATAAAGACTTTCTACAGTTCTCCCCCTCCTCCCCCACCCTCCTTGTTAATCATTTATAAAGACTGTATCTGTAGTCCCTCCCACCCTACCCCCTTTGTTAATCAATGCAACAGACTGTTTCTGCAGTCCCCCATCTCGCTCCACCCTCCACCACCCTCTTTGTCAAGCTCTATGATTGAGATTCAAAAAGAGGAGTCATGCATCATGCTTTGTTTGGACATGAAAGGGCCAAGAATGGAGCCCTATATCGAACAAGCATTTCAAAAATGTGTCTGTGTGCATTATTCTTCAATTATAGTTAGTTGGGCTATCCTCCAAATAACGGCCACATATTATGGTGGCCACAAAAACACCCTAACAGGGCCTCAGTCACATGTAAATTGCAACCTTCCGGCGACTTTAACTGCGCACTTCTGGCGACTACTGCCACCGTAGTATCTCACCGCCGAGGGTATACTCCACGCCACTATGCGCGGCGTGGATTGGGGCTAAACTAGATGGCTGGAACTCACAAGCAGCAGCTTCCGCATCTCCTGCAGCCATCTAGTTTAGCTCCGCTCTGCGCCACACGTAGCGGCATGGGAGATACTCTCAGCGGTGGCGGTATAGACGCTGGAAGTCAGCAATTTACATGTGACTGAGGCCCTGTTTTTGGCCGCTATAATATGTGGCCATTATTCGGAGGATAACCGTTAGTTGTATATCCTTTACAGAACCAACTCCAGCATTTTTTGGCTGCTGTGGTGGTTTTTCTAGGAAAATTTATTTAGGTCCAGTAGTTGGCCACTGCCTTGTGGATGGTCGGTTCTTGATACCACTGTTGAAACCAATGCAAGGGGCAAGGCCTGCAGCTGGGATCGAACCCAGCACCCTGGCATTACGAAGCACGTTTGCAATGCCTAAGCAAGAGACGCCGTCAATTCTTCAATTAGGTGAAAAATTTATATCCCAACTGTTACTTTCATATATGTAGTTTAACTGTTGTATTATTATAACTCATTAGAATGCAAAGAATGGAATCATGTAGTACATGTTCTTTTTGCTGGACAGTGTCAGAATAATAACTGCTTGGGACTAAAAGAGTTAAACAGAAATGTCAATTCTTGGGTGACCCTCCTGTCCAGTTAAAATACATGAAATAATTAACTCTTTGAGGCCCAAACAACGGTGTGAGCGTTGTTTGAGAAGTTCTGTTTTGCCCAAACAACGGTGTCATCGGCAATCATGTGTCCCTTACATTTTGCTTCCCGTGCGGATTCGTACTGGTTTCTAATGTTTGGAGGTATGATTAAACTATTCAGGGAAAGTCACTCTGCCAAAATCCTTTTAGTTTCATTTCCTGGACTAAACCACACGTGGATAATTTGAGAGAAAAAATAGTGAATTTTTTTTAGCAGTTCATTTTCTAAGTTCGTTTTTGAGTGCCATGAATACCAATGTTCCAACTACAAGTACAGGTCGCAGAATGCGTCTTTCTGCAGCCGAAGCTCTGAAATTGTTTCAGTCAGATGTTCTTAATTGTGATAACGATAATAAAAATTTATATTTTTCTGAAAGTGATTTGGACGGTGAATTTTCACCAGTGAAGCTGAGTGATCAGCTGTTCGGAATCTAGCGATTCTGATGAGTTTATTACACAATGTCCCATACTACCGTATTTATGGTGTAAGAGAAGGAAAGTGCTCTAAACAAAGAAACAGTACTATACTATGGCTAAGCTACACTGAAATCATCGTAGCTACAGTCTGTAAATAACTGTACAAAGTAAATAGTGTGTGTGTTATGGCTTATTTTTCTGCCATTTTTTTTCCTCTGAAATTTTGCTCAGGACTCTGTGAGAACTAAGAGCTCCTGAGTGCTAAACTAACCCAGAAAGTTATTATAACTTTGGAATATGTTAGGAAATTAAACAAACTTTGAAGTTTTGTTCTCAAATTTGGATATTTACTACTATCTACTCTTGTGGCTGCAAAACCATGGTAAGTGAAGAATTTTTGTGTGAAATGTTGTCTTTGTGAAATTAACACCTGCTGAATTCTTCTTTCCCGCTAACTATAACAAAATTAAACAAACACTTATCATCAGATTCAAAATGAACATTCATTTCTATTTAAAAAAATATATACTTTTATAGGAATTAGATGTATTACAATCTCTATAGCCTTTCTTGTGCACCCATCCCTCTGCCATTTTTGTAAAGGGATATTAATTTGGGCCAAGTCTGTCAAAATTCATAGGACTGAAAGAGTTAAGTGAACGACTGACTGACGATTATAAGATTATAAAGAGATCTGTTAAAATGATGAGCCACTTACTTTTTAAAGCAATTTGTTCGTCTGATGATACATAGCTTCCATGTCTCAGTCAATCATGAGCAGATGAAAATTTGCTACAGCTACGCAATAATGGTTTATAAAGAGAAAACCACCAGCAGGAATAACTGAATAACATTAGAACGATAACAATCCAACTTTGCTGTCAGCAAACTACAGCTGTAGGTAGACACATACGTCTACGTGGTCCAACTGCAGCAGCAGTAGTTAAGAAGTAATAGCGACAGCAGCAGTAGTCAGTAGTAGTAGGTGAATTACTACTAAGTCGCTGAGTGAACGACTGACATTATTATTATTTTTAGATAAATTAAGTAATTAAGTATTAAGAGATTTGTTAAAATAATAAAAAAAAATTGTCTTATTTTATTTTTTTACTTTACTCATTATATGATGAGCCACTTACTTCTTGAAGCAATTTGTTCGTCTGATGATACAAAGATTCCATCTTAGTCAATCATGAGCAGACGAAAATCACCACAGCTGCGCAACAATGGATTACAAAGAGAAAACCACTAGCAGAAATAACATTAGAATGATAACAATCCCACTTTGTTGTCAGCAAACTACAGCTGTAGATACATACGTGGTCACAGACACATTCAACATCCGCTTTCTGCCAGGGGCGGACTACTAGCAACACCGTCAGTCTACTAGGGCAGCGGTTCTTAAACTTTTTCGCCGCGGCCCCCTTGTCCGACACACACACACACACACACACACACACACACACACACACACACACACACAAATTAGCGGCACACCTACTCTAAAAGCGGTTTGAATAATTAGGGGGGAAAAAAACAGTGCAAATTTAATTTTCAGTTGTCTTTAATGCAATGAATGAAACTTTTAATTAATTTTTCATTATTTTCTTATGTATAGGTTATGGGAAGTTTAGTTAATTTTACCCTTTAATCACGTGGCCCACAAAGTTTGGTCCTGTATCTGTTTTTCATGTAAACGTACGTTGAGAATGCACTGAAGCCTTGACAATAGCATTGCCTTCTCAATACACCTGCATCCAGAACTCTTCTTTGCTTCCTTCGCGTTGTTTCTGTTTTAAACTGCTGTCTTCGCTGATTTCAAGCAGTTTTTGAAAAATTCTTGATTACTGCCGCGGCACCCAGTTTTAGAACCTTTGTACTGGGGGACCATCTACAACATTTATCGGCGACAGGGTCACCTACTGGCTTGTCGGTAGAAGACTTCGTCGCCGGTCGAGACAATATTTGGGTCTGTCTGCTTGGATCGCATTAACATTGCAGGAGTCCTTTTCAGGGCTTTTTAGTGATGAGCAATGCTAAGTCATTTAATATGGCGTACATAACCTAGTCACAAGTATGACCTAAAGCAAGGCAAGCCAGACCGTCTTCACTACGATGGTTGGCTGCATTGCGTCTCCAAATATTTTAGGGCCACTAGAACCTGGTAGTTCGGACCATTTGAAGTCCCTGTTAAAGAAACAGTAGAAGAAAAGGCATTCATATATTATTACTGGCACTCATGTGAGTAAAGGTTAAAAGCTGAGAATATAGGAAACACTTAAATGTTGTTCTTGTATATTCTGAGTTTTGTCTTCGAACTAAATCCCTTTGACTTCCATATATTGTTATTCATGGCAACTGCTTGATTTACTTTGTTTATTCTTGATGTTACATCCTTTTCAGAATCTCCATCTGGGGTAACTTTACTTCCGAAGTGTATAAATTCTTTAACTTCCTTTATAGCTTCATCATTTAAGATAATTAGATTTTCTGTTTTCAAATGATTTCTCATTTCTTTAGTTTTACTGGTGTTTATTTTGAGTCCTATCTTAAGGGTTGTTGTTGAAAGTCTTTCAATCTTTTCCTGAGCGTCCACATGACGGCTTCATATAAGGCTGATGTCATTTGCATATCCAAATCCTCTAAAACAGAAGTCTGTGACCACCTGATGCCTCTTTTTCTATCTCTGGTAACTTCCTTTATCAGCAAGTCAATGGCCAAATTGAACAAAAAAGGGGGATAGTATGCATTCCTGTCCGACTTCTGTGTTGACTTACTGTTGTATAATTATCACAAACTACCTTGCATTGAAACTCTAAGTAAATGGCTTTAATCAAATTTACTATTTTCTTTGATACACCACAGTGACACAAAATCTTCCATAGTGATTCCAAATACAGACTATCTAAGGCTTTTTCAAAATCTACAAAGGTCATATAAACTGCATAATTCCATTCGTTACTTTGTTAAATTATTTGACGCAGCATGAAGATGTGATTAATGCATGATTTCCCCTTTCTGAGTCCTGCTTGCTCTTGCCTTATTATACTATCAAGTGCTTGAGTCATTCTTTTAAGAATTATCTGGCTGAAGATGTTACTAGTTACTGACAGTAATGTGATACCTTTCCAGTTGTAAGTTTCCTAAATCTCCTTTCTTTGGTAGTACAATTTTTCCACTCCTGTGGGATTTCTTCTTTGTTCTAGATTTCTTGAAAAATCGTACACAATAGTTAGGCGTTTTAATTTCCTCCATATTCATCATTTCTGGGCAGTTTTCATCACACCCAGGTGCTCTGTTAACTTTTTAAGCTGTAATCGCCTCCCTAACCACTGCCTCTGAAAAGGGTTCTAGGCTTATCTGTAGGTCTTCCTGTGCCTCAGGTATATCAGCAAGTACAGGTGGGTCTGGACAGTTTAGTAATTCCTGGAAGCGTTCTTCCCACCTTTCTAATTTTTCTTTCTCGACTGTAATCTCCCACTCTTTGTTTCCAAAGGCAGATTTTGGTGCGATACCACATTTCTTTTCAGTTTCTTAGTTTTGTTGTACAATGTTTTAATGTCCTGCTTATTTACTGATTCCTTTGCTTCTGTTACTAGTTTTCCAATATATGAAACTTTATTTGATTTTACTCCTGCTTTAACCTCATTGTTCTTTAGTACATATTCTTTAAAAAAAATTTATTTCAATCTGGCTGATTTTGTATCTAACATTTGTCTTTTAATATCTTTCCGTTGTGCTATTTTCTCCCACTCGATTGGGAAATCCACCACTTTCTTTGACCGCCTATATCCTAATATTTTCTCTTCTCCTAATTTATTTTAAATAAGAGTAAAAAGATATTAATGAAATGAAGTCGCTTTTAAAATACATTTTCATGCTGAGGGAATTTTTGGTACAATATTTATAACGTACCCCATGACGTCACGGGAGACGTTCAGGATTTTCGTGTTTGGGGTACGTTATAAATACTGTACCAAAATATCAGCTGCATGACCTAGGGAGTTCAGTTCATGGCTTTTATTTTTCAGTCTGCCTTTGCTGAAGTGCTGCTGCTCTGTCCACATAACATGCTACCACTTGCTGCTCCCCAGTGAAAAGCTTAACAGTCACGTGATGGATTTAAGGTAACTCTTTGTCAACTGAGTGTTGCTTTGTGACTTAGATGCAAATGAATGCGTTTCACACTTTAGTTTTACAACCCTCGAAGTACCAGGGTTCAATTTCCTCAGTGGACAGTATTTTTTTAAAACATTTTTAGTGCCAAATAGATATGGATTCAGCCAATTCTTTCCTTTAAAAAAAAATATTATTAGATGACCGTCCCCCTGTGGGATTCAGTTTTTTATTTTTTATTTTGATGCCCCACGCTGGCTTTTGCCGGGGGCTGTGATCCTCATCCGCATGGTGGCACTTTGTGTCACCGGGTGTTTATCGCTTGTGTGTGGCCTGGTGGGGTACAACTTACTTACTTTCCTAAAAAAAAAAAAAAACGGGAGCCACGGCTGTTTAGCAGGTTCATTTGCGAATGAGAAGATTGTGGGTTCAAATCCGAATAGTCGACTATTAAGATATGCTTCTTGGGGAGGCAATGGGTCTATTATTTTTCCCAAGGGCCCTGAAATCCACATGTGGACAATCTGTGATGAAAAACAGTTAATTCATATGCTTTAATGGTCAAATAAAAGTGGCAGTAGCCTAGCCCACTGGCTAGATGCCTGCCTGCCCTAATATTTTACGTTTGAATCTTGCAGGTTTTTATATTTGACCTACGGCCGCTAGGTCGACCCAGCCTTTAATGGGTATCCGGAAGCTTATAATGAAGTAAAAGTGTCACACACAGTGTTGACCACATCATAGATTAGTGCTGCAGCACAAACAGATCATGACAGTTTGAAGAAAATGGAGCAGAGGAGAGTGGCAATGGGGATATGGTGGACAATCAAAACCCGGGTGAAAGCCGAGACAAGCAAACAGTCAGACTGATACTGGTACTATTGGAACTGGGACTCTGTGCTGGCTGTAGATGGTAGGGACAGAGCACTTACGGGTATGTCCCAAGTGTTATGATGTAGGTTTTCAACTGAACTCACCTCAGCTTATTAACTGCTGATTTGTCTAGAAAGACTGTATGGGCCTAGCACCATATACCTGAGGCCCCAAATGAAAATTTTCCTTCTTCTTCTTCTACTTCTTCTTCCTCTTATTTTTCATATTCATTGACTGTAAACTCTGGCGGAAAACTCTGGATGTCGTCCACCTCAACATGTAGTTGATATAACAATAATGCCACCCTTAATGTAATTGTAAATCTTCGGGGCCATTACTGTTGTTATGTTGACCTCTCCTCTGAGGCTAAACTTTCATTACTGCAGGTAATCATTACCTAGCAATCAATGAGTTAATGTTAGAAGAATCAAACATGTCTAGACATTTTCTTTAGGAAGCACTGATACACTACAGTACATAAATCACTAGATATGCAACTTATTTTAAATGAATGCCTTTAGGCAGATCGAGGAAAGAAGCTTTCAACTTGAAAAGACGTAGGTTTATTGAAACAACGAAAGCGCCACCTTTATTGCCTAGGCTCGCCTTCGCCCCGTGTTTAAATAAACCTCAGTCAGCTGACTGTGAATCACGTCTTGACATTGGGCCGCTTGCATAGTTAAAAGACTGCTAACATTTGTCAGCTGGTTTTTAACTGTGCTACACTTGGTCCACAACCTGAGTCGTCGTAAACTATATTGTTATTTAATATAGTTAACTTGTAAATGAAATACATTCCTAGATATTGATCGATGTAGAAGAGAGATTTAGAAGCTGTACTATGGCTTAGTGTTACGAACGCGCTTCGTAATGCTGAGGTGCCCGGTTCGATCCCAGCTGCAAGTTGTTTCGACAGTAGTATCGAAAGCCAACCGCCCAGTAAGCAATGGCAAACAACTGAACGTAAAATTGCCTAGTAAAATCACCAACGTTGCTGCAATGTTCTAATAATAATAGTAATAATTTTTACTACCCCACTAGGACATCACACAAGCGATAAACACCAGATGACACAAAGTGCCACCATGTGGGTGAGGATCACCGTGGAGAGGTCCCAGAAACCGCGTTCAGACAATTGGCCATATTGGGGCTTCAAATAACAAAAAAATTACGTCCTAAAAAGGACGTAAGG